AAACTGCATTCTTAGCCACACTTCGGTCCCGCATGGATGTACACTCAGGGATGTGAAGATTTGTGCAGCTATCCACTTGTCATTGATTTGAATAGGTTGACTGCACTAACCACCTGTAAAGGAAAACACACCTCTTCATGGGTGCACTGATCGGTGGGCCTGTGTGAATGATCCTGAGAGGAGGATTTTTGCATTCAGGGCATACATCCCCAAATGCACACAGCCCACTCAAAACAGCAGCTGCATATACCAGCTTAAGGCATAAACACCCTTACCAAAAACAACTATAAAACGCCTTAATATCGCTGAGGGAGTATGCACCACTCTTCAACGAAATCCTTCCAAGTCTGAGTCTCACCCTTTAGGATGTTATCAATCATCTTCTCCTAGATGTCATCATATTTTTTTTGGAGGTACTCCATAGTACTCATAGTACCCATGTTCCGACAACCCCCGAACTTGTAGAGTGCTGTCAACTGTTGGCCACTCTGTTCACCAGTTACATAATCTCCAAGACCAACTGTACTCAAGGAAATAAAGCAGAAGTACAGGGCATCCACATATCCCCAATTCCCTTATAGGATACTGAAGAAAACCGCAGGAATGAAGAAGAAAAAGAGAGACAGGATGGTGATTAGGACTATGGCATGAATCCACTCTAGCTTGTTATTGGAAATATTCCAGCGGCGGTGGAAGGCACAAAGTGGTTTGTCTCGCAGTAAAATTAGCAGATTCTGAGCAGTAATAGAGAGGAAAGATAAGGTGAATGGAATTCCAAGGATGGCGTAGAATACACAAAATATCTTTCCACTCAGTGAGATGGGAAAGGGATGTCCATAACCTATGACTCAGGTGCATTAGCTGAGTCATAGGTTATGGACATCCCTTTCCCATCTCACTGAGTGGAAAGATATTTTGTATATTCTATGCCATCCTTGGAATTCCATTCACCTTATCTTTCCTCTCTATTACTGCTCAGAATCTGCTAATTTTACTGCGAGACAAACCACTTCATGCCTTCTATCGCCGCTGGAATATTTCCAATAACAAGCTAGAGTGGATTCATGCCATAGTCCTAATCTCCATCCTGTCTCTCTTTTTCTTCTTTATTCCTGCGGTTTTCTTCAGTATCCTAGAAGGAAATTGGGAATATGTGGATGCCCTGTACTTCTGCTTTATTTCCTTGAGTACAGTTGGTCTTGGAGATTATGTAACTGGTGAACAGAGTAGCCAACAGTTGAGAGCACTCTACAAGTTCGGGGTTGTCAGAACATGGGTACTATGAGTACTATGGAGTACCTCCAAAAAAGCCATAATGGCATCTAGGAGAAGGTGATTGATAACATCATAAAGAGTGAGATTCAGGCTTCGAAGGATTTCGTTGATGAGTGGTGCATACTCCCTCAGCGATATTAAGGTGTGTTTTATAGTTGTTTTTGGTAAGGGTGTTTATGCCTTACACTCTAGAAGTTTACACTGAAGGGTCACTTGGATTTGTATTCACAGAGTGACGCACAATCACGGTTGCTACACTGTGTTCACTTTTCACTTATAAGGTCACGTTTGTTTTCTGTTTTTGAAGTTGCACAGTGCATAGTGTTTTTGTATTTAATATTTATTTTCGGATTTTATAAAGATAATGCACTATATGAGTTTTCCTTTTTTTTGAGGTTCTTATTTCCTTTGGGAGCCAGTAGGAGGGCTCGTTTTTAAAGAACCGGAGATTTGGAATCAGAGACTGGAATGACTTTTACTTTTGGACACAAGTGACTCATTTGATTATTTGAATTTTTGATAAAAATATTTTTTGGGGGGTTATTGTTATGGTATTTAAATTTTTCACATTCTTTATGTGTAGGGTACTACGTTTTTGCATATAGGGGTATTATTAAGATATTTACACTTTCAAGGATGAAAGTTAGACCTTCTATGCTAGAGGGTTTAAAAAAAAATTATATATATATATATATATATATATATATATATATATATATATATAATTTTTTTCTGATTTTTATTTTTGGATACCATAGTTCCATATATTATTGCATATACCAGCTTGTCATTGATTTTGAAAGGGCTGCTGGCAGCGGGTTGCATGAGCGCTGGAATATGCCTGGTTTGTGCGCTATATGGCCAAAAACACCTGTGTGCATGAGCCTGCGTGCAATAATATGTTCTTTCCTAACAAGTGTCTCGGAAGATGTACAAACTGTTCTGCTGACATAAGGTAGGAAAAACAGAGCAGAGGTATACCCAAAAACAACAGCCTCTAAACTCTGCCATTATGCTTACATACCAGGCATTTCTGACATGCAAAAGTCCAACACATCCTAGTAGTGTTGAAGCTTGCCCGCTCACTCCTTCCTCCACATTGCTGTTGGCCCATTCTTGTGAAAGACCACCAGGAATGTGCAGGAGGCAGAAAGTGGTGGGAAAGCTTTAAAATAACTAGAAAGTGTCTAAGCTGTGCCTGGCATTATGAGGGCTAGGAGACTGCTGCATTGCACTCATTCTACACTATGTATCTGACAGCAGTTTTTTTTTTTCTCCTTACAAATTTGTTTTAAGCCAGTGAGTCAAGCAAGACAGCCAAGTATCTAGCATTTATAAAAGGGGGTCAGCAACAGCAGTTCCATATTTCTTTCATCACATATTTATTTGACACTGGTAGCCTACAGAGCATTCTGCTTGTGTTTTGCATATTTGGTAAGTTGTGGTTATCAGTTAAAGGGTTTCTTGGATGTAGTATGGAACCAAGGACAGTAAACAAAAGAAAAACATCCAAAATAATTCCTGCAGTAAGACTCCCCAAACTTGAAGACCTTTAGCTCAGGTGTCAGAACCAGAATTTGAACCCTAAACTTCAACTGTGATTGTGAGGAGCTCTTCTTACTGAGCCACCTGACATGTTGGACAGCATGCTGTCTCATTCCTTTGGTAATCTTGCCTTGTACCTTATTTCTGGTGAACCTTGAACTCCTTGCTCTTCCCATGAACTTTCTATTTAAGCCATGCCTTTGCACTTTCTGTTTTCCAGATTATTGTGCTCTCTCCAGCCTATATCTTACTACTTTGCATACCTGCAGCTGTCCTTATCCCCACTACCACTCGCTACTGACCTTTGGCTTGTTCCTTGAGTATGCTTCCTCTTGATCCCAACCTGCAACCAATTACTAGCATTGGCTTGTTTACTAACTTCTGACAAGTCTTCTGACTTCTGCTTGATCCCAACCTACTATATCTGCTACTGGACCCTGGCTTGCTCACCTCCTGTTGGGTCAATCTTAAGGACTGCAACCTGTAAAGCACAGCACAATCTATCTCCGCCATCAGGAGCTCTGGTGAATACCAGTTAGCACTTAGACCCCGCACCTCAGATGAGCACACATCATCCTCCAGAGTGACCTTCTTGCGTACTTATCCAGCTAGTTTGTCGGAGCCTCTCTACTGCTATAGCTACTGGTCTCCGAGACTGACCCCCTAACTGTGACAGTGGGTGATGACGTTACACATTTTGGCCAAAATACAAACCAATCTCTATATTGTGTGTTTGAGTCTTTTGGGAAGTGTTAAAAATACTTTTAAAGTGGAAGTAAGGTCAACTATAAATATTCTTAAAAATGCTGCCCCCCTTCTTCCTATCTATGCTGCAAAGCCTGTATAAAAAAAAAAAAGATCTGTTTACTTACCTTTTTTCACTCTCCTCCACTGCGGTCACTTGATTCAGCAGCCCCGGCTGCCCTGTGTAAGGGTCTCTTGACTACGTCTCATTATGTCACCCACTCATTCCCATTACCACTCCATTGTTGGTGCATTTTCTGTTCCCCTGCAGCAGCTGCTCCCAGACATAGGGGAGCCAAACTTGATAGATCACATGACTGCACTGGAGCAGATTAAGAAATGGAATTACACAGATCTTTTTTTTATACAGGGTATGCTGACTAGGAAGGAGGTTAAGAATATGTATAGTCAACCTCATCTTCCTCTTTAAAATACCTAGTTGCCCAGTGACTATTGTCAAGATTTAGGGGTCAGAGTGGGGAGCCTGGTCTTGTAATTTTGACAGGTCATGTGTCTGGGTGTCCTCTAATTACTGGGTGTTCTCTGCTGCGTTAAGCACAAACTCTGGGGGGGGGGGGGGACCACAGACTCTACACTTTGGCCCCACATTTTATGTGGAGTATAGAAGAATGCTATGTCCACTCTCCTTTTATAAGAGGCTGTGTTTGAACATAAAGCAACCAAAGTTAGATTCCCTGTTTTTTGTACTTTTATAATGTTGCTGTTAGCAATGAAGGGTTTGTGTGTTCTGGTACTGCGCTCAGGTAAACCATAAAAAGAGTCAATGATTTGTACTCTGCATAGACTGAAGAAGTTGCTGTGTGCCACATGTCGTGGATACACATGGGTTCCTTTGGGCAGTGCCCCAGTTATGTCAGAGGAAACTGCAGAACAAAAAAGGTAACATCAAAAGATTTTCTGCATTCACTTCCATTTTTTCTTCAAATAAACTGTTACCATCCATAATTCATGACATTAATACCTTGAACACAACGGTGCTAGAAAACAAACCATTTCTAACGCTGGTGTATGCTCATCTTTAGGGAAGCTTTCAGGGAGCTTTATGGGAGATTCTGTAAAGCTTCATAACTTTTAATACCTTCAGGTTGTATTTAATATAATAGACATAAATATAAAGGACAGAAATATGAAAGCTATGATTGCAGTTGTGTTGTTAAAGTGTTACTAAACCCAGGACCCTGCATTCACTATATCTGGTCTCCCACAGTACACACAACATGGAAATGCAATTATTTTAGTAAATATAAACTGCTAAATACCTTTTCTCATCAGCAGTTAGAGCAGTCTTGTGACTTCTATCAGTGTCCAGCTGAGCACGTGTTAAAGCTTGTAGGAAGAGTTTTCATTTTGCTCTAGGAGGATGCAGAACCCCTGAGCTCTGTCTGGACAGTGCTGATTGGTCCTGTGCTGATCACATGCACTCTCCCAAGAAAAAACAAACAACCTCTCTAGCAGTACACACCAAACTGAGCATGTGCAGAGTGTCTTCAGATGATATATCTTATCAGGAGATAAGAGGGGGACACTGGAAGATGAGGAGAATCAGAGAAGAAAGGATCACACAGCCTTTTTACAGAATGCAGAGGAATAACCCCTTAGGTTCCACAGTGAGTATAACAAGCATGCTTTACTGCATATACAGACTGATTTTACTGTTGTGGGTTTAGTAACATTTTAAAGGTGCATGCTCAAGGGCTGTCATCCTCATCCTTGGCTTCAGTGTTCTAAAACTAGCGCATAATATAGTTCAGAATTTGCAGACAATGGTTTAAGACCATGGACTCAGTACATAATTAATACAGAATTAGGATGACATTCCTAGCAAAAACAGCTTCCATGTTCTATCTTTGCAGATTCACCGCTTGCTCTAATGGGCTGGAATGTACGCTAGAATATAGGCTACGTTGCATGAATATTGTCCTTGTCCCCAAAATCCACACTTCTTGAAGACAAGAAAGGGGGAATAAAAGGAGTGAAAAAATATACCATATAGAGGGAAGACCATTATCAATTACAAAATATGAACAAATAACCATTCACTAGGCACCTGCATTTGCATAGTTAGCAAATCACTGGGATGTCAGTTTAAAGGAACTACTTTCTGAGTTATATTGCAGCAGGCAGAGAAGGTAGATCCTTGTATAGGATTAGTAAAGCTCCTTAGCTTGTTCTGTAGCCTGGAACTAAGCTTTTTTGAAAAGCTGTGAAGGTGGAGCAGTACTGGATCTGAGTACCTGGAGCTGAAATCAGAATCAAGCTAAGCTCTGGAATACAGTTTGACTATTCTTTCTTTCTTTCTTTCTTTCTTTCTCTCTCTCTCTATAGTTAGTGATAATAAAATAGTGGGACACATTTTTTAAATTCTTGCAACTTGTACAGGGGCAGACTGACCATTTGGAAACTCGGGCACTGCCCGAGGGCCTGGGTCAGTAAGGGGCCCCATGAGATTCCCCTGGTACCTTTTTCATAGGCTTTTTTGAGTTTGGGCAAGGACGCAGGGGCCCCATGATCCCCTATTGCCCGGGGACCCCATGTGTTGTCAGTCCGCCCCAAGTCACTTGCATTAACACTTTTTATCATGCTCCACCTTATGGATGCAGTGCCTTAAAATGTGAAGAATGGATATGGTAACTGTCTTGTTTTATAGCTTTGCTGTAAGATTTATGTGTTAGAATACACATAGAGAAAGAAATCTATTCCTATGGGCTATTTCATTTAGGAAATGTTAAAACAAAGGGGTTGATTTACTAAAACTCTAGTGTACAAAATCTGGTGTAGCTTTCCATAGAAACCAATCAGCTTCCAGTTTTTTTTTGTCAAAGCTTAAATGAACAAGCTGAAGTTAGAAGCTGATTGGCTACCATGCTCAGCGGCACCAGATTTTGTACTCTCCAGTTTTAGTAAATCAACAACTATAAGCTGATCAGTAGTCATGCCTTCTGAACCATTATATTTTGTTTAACATTTAAGACCATTTATGTTCACCTGTACTTGTATGTGGTAAAATTCCATGCTCGCTAAACTCAGCTGCAGCTAAGACAATGGGAGAGAGAGGGCACCTGGCACCAAACCTGTAGGCAAATGTGACAATGACATTATTTTTCAAAGCTGGCGCCCTTGATTGCATAGGCAATTTTTCACGAAAAGGTGAATTTAGCCTTTTTGTTACATAGATCAGCAACTTCTAGACACTTAGTCCTCATGCACACAGGATGTCTTTGACACTGCTCTTAGGGCTGTCCAGTGTTTATTTTTCGTGCTTCTAAATGCCCCTGCATGTTAGCCTCTTTGTCTATTCAAACATAGGTGATTAGAGGAGTTTATTTGCTGCAAACCCCATTATTGCTGCATCCAGGAGCAGGGGTGTTTTGACAGAAAAAACACACTTGACCTGTAAATGCGTCTAAATTATTATTCTGGACAAATAAATTAATTAATCCCCAAGTGCTTGATGTGCCTAAGTGAACTACATGCGTGTTTTCAAGTGGCAAGAGCCCAGTTTGCATGAGGCCTTAAAATTCTTTCCTTTATGTATTGCCAGCCAGTTGCATTGGCCATTTTTATGCAGCCTTGCTGAAAATTTGTGAGTTCGCCATCTGCTTACCAGTTTTGTGCTAGTATGTTTGTCTTAGTTCATCCATGGTTTCACCCACCCTATTTATTTCAATAATTTTTAAAGCCTTCTACAATATTCTTGCTTTTTGAAAGATGGGGGGGGGGGGGGTAGCTGCTTGTCAAACTGGACAGAGCCAGAGGGTAACATCATTATACAAAGTGTACATTTTTCCATTTAAAAACTTGATTATTTGACTGTGGCTCAGCAAGTGAGCAAGGTTTCTTGAGAACAGCCTGAGAATGTCATACTTGGGGAACAATATTACCTAGACCTGCTGCAGGTCTATTCTATCAGTCTTCACTCTTCCAATGAAAACGTGAAAATATGTAATCCGCTCATGATCCAACAGAGTGTAAGTGTATCTTGTAGTTAACTAAGCTGGTAAAAAATTAAAAGCAATAATGCAAAACAGCTTGAGGAGGGTAAAGAAGAACAAAGAAAAATTCCCAGTTCACATATCTTACTGGGAATTTTTCTTTGTTGTTGTTTGACATGCGTCACTCATGTACTCCTTGCTGCAAAGGCCATTCATAGATCGGGTGGTTGGTATTTGTTTGTAAGGATGGTAAGGAGCATGCACACACTGCAGATCAATACAAAACAGATTATGAAAGCTGCACAAATATACACTCTTCACAACAATTTGTCTCAGTCAGGGTGACATGGCTATATAGCATAGTCTCTAAAAGACTGTTTAAACAACAGAAAATCTAGCTGACGATCACTACTTCAGTAAAACACAACTACTTGTGATTATCCTCATAAACAGTGTCCTTCTCAGTGAAGTCCAGGGTAGCTTAGGTAACATTGGTGAACAGCTGGAGGAATCCAAGGCCTAAACACAAAGGTTTCCCTTAGTAGCTGGTACTTAGTTGCGTGGAGGGCCTTCCATCTGGCTACAGATCATGTTCCCAGCTACTTCTGCCTCATCAGGTGTGGTCTGCCTAAGCTGTTGAGGAAGGAAACCTGAGGACTTATCTTACCTGGGCATGTTCAAGAACCCAGGGAGTTGTTGGAAACTGAGTTAAAGGGACCTTTGCTTGCATCTAAGCATGGTGAGCAAATGGGCTCAGCATTGCATAATTATGTTCAGAGCACTGTACTCATATGTTGAAAAACTATGATGGATATTTAGACTGAAAGGTCTCAAGAGAAGTACAGCAAAAGGATTGGGGTGTTTGCCTATAAAGGGTGTTTACTACTTACTGTGAGAGGTACAAGCTCTGACATTTACATTTTACATGACTATGTCATGTATGGGCAGTCAGTTTAGGGCAGTAAGTGAATGTTGACCCTGGATGATTCCTGTATAGGGATGATGCCAGGTTATCTGGACAGAAAGGACTTAAAAGCTATTCTTAGGAGTTTTGTTAGACTGAGAGGTAATACATACGTAAAGGTTTTACACTTAAACATTTCTTACAACACCTAGCATTAAAGAGAAATTCAGGCAATACTTAAAGCAGCGCTGCAGTCTCCTGTATAAAAAAATAAAAGTCAGCAGCTACAAAAAAAACTGTAGCTGCTGACTATTAAAAAACAGCCACTCACCTGTCCCTCGATCCAGCGTTGTCCTCACCCCAGCCGGGTTCACCGGCCGTCCTCTGTCCCCGGCGCTGGCATCTTAAGTATGGGGACCCGGCTGTGACAGCTTGCAGATTCACAGTAAGGATGCCAGCGGAAGAAGCGTGCTTTCACTTATAATGTGAGAATGGTAGAAAAAGGTACACATCTGACAGGCCTTCAACCAATTTATTAAGATAAAACTGCTGTGTCTCCAACCACAGTGACCAAATCTTGTCAAATTTGTTGGGGCATCCCCAGCTGTTGTAGGGAGCCTTATACATTGGACAGCAGAATTGATGAGTATTTTCCACTTATCAAAGGCTGGTGGGACAGAGGATTTTCAAATAATTACAATTGCCTTTTTAGCATACTACAGCAATAGACCAAGTAGTATTTGGGTAGCTTTCCTGTGGGCCAATGGTTCCACAAGACCCAATATGCAACTTCCCAACTCCTGGGGTATCTGAATATTGGACATGTCTAAAAAAAATATGAAGGAAGGCTGTATTTGAACAGAAGCATCTCCAGCCCACACTAGAGTGGTCAAGCTGAAATGTTTTCACTCTTACCTGTGTGAGATAGTAGTGAACAATTTTAAACTGGACAAACCTGTCCCTAGCTGAGAGCAATTGCTGAAAGGGATAATCCCAGACATCATCCCAGTCATCATTATCCAAACTTGGAATATCTAGCATCCTCATCTCTTTATATTTGTGTTTCTTGGCAGTTTTAACAGTAGGCTTCTGTATCTGAGAGACAGCAAGGAGCCTGTAGTAAGCAATTAGGGTATCTCAAGCCGGTTATTTAAATCATATAAATTTTGCACAGCAGATCTAGTTCAAAGCAGTTTTGAGCTAGAAAAATAATTTTTAAAGCAGATTTGGAGTGAGAGCTTTTGTAGAAACCTAGAGCTGAGGGTTTGTTTAGGCTCTGGAGCGAGCCTGCAGCATAAGTTCTGGAGCCTCTCTGGAGCTAGGGATGGCAAACATGGACTCCTGCCACTTTAGTCTATATTATCTTCTGCTCATAAAAGATGTCATCATGCAAAGTCTACTTGGAAAATATTTCCAGATATTCTGGCTACATCAGTTTTATAAACCAGTGGCTGTGATCGTACAGTTGTTCAGTTGTTAACAGAGTTTTGATGGACTGATTTGAAAACCTGATGACTCATTATTTTAAAGTGAGGAATCATTTCTTGCTTTTTGGAGTAATGATTTAAGTCAATATGGCAGCATTGTATTTCCCACTGTGAAAAGATGAATACCCACAGAAGTGTAAAAATCTGTCCCATTGGACAGACACCTACCTGGAGACCTGCATGTAGGTAGAGTTGATCCAGGGAATATCCAATTGCCTCTCAGGGGATCAGAAAGGAATTTTCTCCCCTGCAGGAGCAAATTGGATCATGCTTTGCAGGTTTTTTTGCCTTCCTCTGGATCAACTGTGGGTGTAATATTATAACTTTTTTTTTTTATGGTTGAACTGGATGGACTTTTGTATTTTTTCAGCCAGACTAACTATGTAACTATGTAATGCAGATTGAATTTTAGCTCCCAGGAATTCAAAGAAGCCCAGTGACACAAAGGGGCTGATTCATTGAAGAAGTAGAGCCTGTTAGTCTAGCAAAGAGCATGTTCACATTGCAAAGTTAATACTGGCAAATAGGAAACGTGTTTACTATGACTACTACTGGTCCAAGAATGTGGGCCCTTTACAAAATATTCTAGAGTGGGTGACTGGGGACAGAGAGAAAGCAAATATATGAAATACCTTCTTCAGCTCTGTATATACAAAGGAGCATGGGGGAGCTCTTGTCCATAATGGGCATGGTATTGACATAGCTCCAGATGATCCACATTGGCTCGCAATTGATATGATCCAAAAAAATTTTGAAAGTGTAAAGGTGAATAAAGCACCTGGACCGGATGGCATACACCCACGGGTCCTTAACCTCCCTGGCGGTATTCCCGAGTGTAGCTCGGGATAAAGTTTCAGTACTACAAGCGGTAACCCCAAGCTACACTCGGGAATACCATGTGGCGCTGCTCCGCGATCCCTCGATCACTTACCTGCGCTCCTACGATGTCCCTCCTGCAACGTCCCTGGCAATGTAATCCGGTGGATGCCAGCATCTGTCTTCTGGGTTCTGTCCCCTGCGAGCATCGGGACGTACGGGGGACGGAACGGCGGGAAATTTGAAAATGACAAAAAGTGACATTAACTAAAATCACTAAAATCACATAGTAAAACATTACTGTATCAAACCATTTCACATACATTTTGTCCCTAGTGCTTTGTCTTGTGCCCTGCCTGCATTTTTACTGTTCTTATTGCCTGGAAACTGAGAAACGTCCATGGCGTCCAAAAAGCTTCCCTTTAGGTCAAAAGTGGTTTTAGACCAGCTAGAGAATAGCAATAGTAAATCAGAACCACTTGCAGAATTGAGTGATAATGATTCGTGGGGAAATTCATCATCAGACACTGAAAACGATTTTGCGACTTTGCTCAGTGATGTGCAAACTTGGCGCTATATTTCAAATTTCAGTGTTTTTGGTTTGATTATATTATTGAATTAAATTTATTATTATTATATTATTATTTTTTATGATTATTTATTAAATTATAATTTATGATTTCGTATTTCAAGTTTTATCCTACCGGGGATGTTTACTAGACTCTTGTTCGGACAGATTTCAGTGAGTTATTCCTAAGAATTACAGGCCTACAATAAAAACGCCAAAATTTCCATGCAAAATAATGGTACCGCTTTCAGCACCAAAAATCTGAAATAATCATACCGCCAGGGAGGTTAAAGAATTGAGCCTTGTCATTTCAAAGCCATTGTTTCTCATTTTTAGGGACTCTTTAATGACTGGCATAGTACCACTGGATTGGCGTAAGGCCAATGTGGTGCCAATATTTAAAAAGGTTTCAAAATCTTTACCAAGTAATTATAGACCAGTTAGTATACAGTGGGGATCGAAAGTTTGGGCACCCCAGCTAAAAATTTGTATTAATGTGCATAAAGAAGCCAAGGAAAGATGGAAAAATCTCCAAAAGGCATCAAATTACAGATTAGACATTCTTATAATATGACAACAAAAGTTAGATTTTATTTCCATCATTTACACTTTCAAAATAACAGAAAACAAAAAAATGGCGTCTGCAAAAGTTTGGGCACCCTGCAGAATTTATAGCATGCACTGCCCCCTTTGCCAAGCTGAGACCTGCCAGTGTCATGGATTGTTCTCAATCATCGTCTGGGAAGACCAGGTGATGTCAATCTCAAAGGTTTTAAATGCCCAGACTCATCTGACCTTGCCCCAACAATCAGCACCATGGGTTCTTCTAAGCAGTTGTCTAGAAAACTGAAACTGAAAATAGTTGACGCTCACAAAGCTGGAGAAGGCTATAAGAAGATAGCAAAGCGTTTTCAGATGTCAATATCCTCTGTTCAGAATGTAATTAAGAAATGGCAGTCATCAGGAACAGTGGAAGTTAAAGCAACATCTGGAAGACCAAGAAAAATATCAGACAGAACAGCTCGCAGGATTGTGAGAAAAACAATTCAAAACCACGATCCCTCCAGAAAGCTCTGGCAGACACTGGAGTTGTGGTACACTATTCCACTATAAAGAGATACTTGTACAAATATGGTCTTCAAATGGAAGAGTCATCAGAAGAAAACCTCTTTTACGTCCTCACCACAAAAATCATCGTTTGAACTTTGCCAATGAACATATAGACAAGCCTGATGCATTTTGGAAACAAGTTCTGTGGACCGATGAGGTTAAAATTGAACTTTTTGGCCGGAATGAGCAAAGGTACGTTTGGAGAAGAAGGGGCACAGAATTTAATGAAAAGAACCTCTGTCCAACTGTTAAGCATGGGGTTGGATCAATCATGCTTTGGGGTTGTGTTGCAGCCAGTGGCACAGGGAACATCTCGCGAGTAGAAGGAAAAATGGATTCAATAAAATTTCAGCAAATTTTGGATGGTAACTTGATGCCATCTGTGAAAAAGCTGAAGTTAAAGAGAGGATGGCTTCTACAAATGGATAATGATCCTAAACACACCTCGAAATCCACGGGGGATTACATCAAGAGGCGTAAACTGAAGGTTTTGCATGGCCTTCACAATCTCCTGACCTCAACATCATTGAAAATCTATGGATAGACCTTAAAAGAGCCGTGCGTGACAGACAGCCCAGAAATCTCAAAGAACTAGAAGACTTTTGTAAGGAAGAATGGGCAAAGATACCTCAAACAAGAATTGAAAGACTCTTGGCTGGCTACAAAAAGCGTTTACAAGCTGTGATACTTGCCAAAGTACAAGATATTAACTCTGCAGGGGGCCCAAACTTTTGCAGACGCCATTTTTTTGTTTTCTGTTATTTTGAAAGTGTAAATGATGGAAATAAAATCTAACTTTTGTTGACATATTATAAGAATGTCTAATCTGTAATTTGATGCCTTTTGGAAATTTTTCCATCTTTCTTTGGCTTTTTTATGCACATTAATACAAATGTTTAGCTGGGGTGCCCAAACTTTCGATCCCCACTGTAACTTCTATAGTTGGGAAGATACTGGAGAGTTTAATAAAAGACCACATAGATGAGTTCTTGCTGGAAAAAAATATTTTAAGCAACAGACAGCATGGATTCATGAAAGACAGAAGTTGTCAAACAAACCTGATTTCTTTTTATGAGGAGGTGAGCAAAACATTGGACAGAGGGGTGGCGGTGAACTTGGTATACTTGGATTTTACAAAAGAATTTGACACAGTTCCCCACACACGGCTAATGTGTAAGGTAAAGGCTACATGCTTGGAAAAATCAGTATGTAAATAGATAGCAAACTGGCTAAAAGATCGTATTCAGAGAGTAGTGGTTAATGATTCATACTCTGAATGGCCTAGGATTGTTAGTGGTGTACCCCAAGGTTTATACCTAACTGCCAACTGTCCCTCATTTAGAAACCAAATCCCTCTTTTCCCCTAGTTGTACCTGTTCTTTGCTGCAGAGTATAACCCTCTATAATAAGTGTACTATTTAACTACAATAAAGTTTTATACTACACATTGTGGTTGATTTACTAAAACTGTAGAGTGCAAAATCTGGTGCAGCTCTGCATAGTAACCAATCAGCTTCTAACTTCAATTAAGCTCTGACAAAAAAATCTGGAAGTTTTCTGGTTTCTATGCAGAGCGGCACCAGATTTTGCACTCTCCAGTTTTAGTAAATGAGCCCCAATATCTTTTGTCAAACCAGTTATGCATTTGTCACTTAAAGTGGCTCTAAAGGTATGACATTTTTTACCTTAATGCATTCCCTGCATTAGGTAAAAATATGTCCTAATAGTTTTATCGTTCCCCCCTGCCCCACCTCTCTGTATATGTCTTATCTTGGATCCTCTCCTCACTGGACACAGAAGCAGCAATGGCAGCCATTGGCTCCTGCTGCTATCAATTAAATCCAGTGAGGAGGGAGTGGGGGGAATTCCAGAGCTGTGCTGTGTGTATCTGTGGATGCACACAGCAGGGCTCAAATGCATGCCTTCACACGTGCCTTCATAACACACAGCTTGCTATGGGAGCACACAGAAGAGGAAGAGTTGAGAGCCCTGTCAGCGGACCTCAGAAGATGAAGTTCAGGGACACTCTGTGCAATACCATTGCATAAAGCAGGTAAGTATAACACATGTATTATTTAAGGAAAAAAATATCTCTTGTCTAAGATGAAAAGGTTGGCTAACAGCTTTAAAAAGTCATAATAAAAATAAAGGTTAACAAAAGCACTTTTAACCAGTCATGTTTGTGTATTATTTCTGCATGATCCTTATAGCTGGGGGATGTGTCCTTTTCCCTATATACTTTGTACTTAAAATTGTCCCTCTTTCTCATCTCAAAATGTTGGAATGTACAGTATATGTGATCAGTGGTATTCTAAATATTCTTGTTTCAGTATTAAAAATGTGTACAATGTATTGTACTTATCTGTGAACCAGGGGCGGACTGACAACTCATGGGGCCCCCGGGCAATAGGGGATCATGGGACCCCTGTGTCCTTGCCCAAACTCAAAAAAGCCTATGAAAAAGGTACCAGGGGCATCTCATGGGGCCCCCTACTGACCCCGGGCCATTGGGCAGTGCCCGAGATTCCGAATGGTCAGTCCGCCCATGCTGTGAACCCACGATTTTTTAAGTCCTAACATGGCTCTGATATTTACTCCATAAACTTCCTAGTATTACCAAATCTCAGAAAGGTGCTATTTTGAAATGTAAGGTTCAAATCTCATTTTACAAAGGTAATAGGGCACACTGGAGTGATCTTTGTGACAAAAGTGGTTTCTCTGTTTTAGGAATAACATAAGTAAATAATAAAATATGTGTATAAACATTCTCAGTGATTCATTTCTTGACTCCTAAGCTCATAATTCATCCATTTCAGAATGATTTCCCCATGGTGCCATCAAAGCAATCAACAAATAAAACCAAAAGGTTGAATAATGAAATCTGAACAGTTGGATTTTATGCACTGTAAGATTGGGATTATCATGTCCACATCTCTTGTCTAACATGAAAAGGTTGGCTAACATTAAGAATTAATATCTATCCACACTTCTGCTTATGAAGAAGAGAGGCGTGCATAGCACAAGGAAACTTTTTTAACAAGTGACCTTCTAAGTCCTAAAATGTATTGTGTATAAACTGCCTCTGTTCCTAAACATTTCAGGGAAAAGAACATTCTGTTAAGGTGTGTAGCACTCAACAAACACAATGTTGCAAACTAAACAAAAAGTGGTATGAGCTTGTATTCTTACCTGTCTACACCATTTCTGAAATGTGCTTCTCATTAAAATCTAAGGGGTAGATCTGGTGCAGCTGTGCATGGTGGCCAATCAGCATCTAAACACAGCTTGTTCTATTAAGCGTTGGCAATAAAACCTGGAAGCTGATTGGTTTCTATGCACAGCTGCACCAGATTTTGCAGTCTCCAGCTTTAGTAAATGACCCCTCAAGTGTCGAAGTAACAGCATATGGCAAACTTAGGGATAAAATAGTAACTGCTTTCCTACTGGGGCATTTTTTAAAACTTTTTCACATACATGTAAAACCTGCTAGAATATTACTTAGAACTCCCAAATAGTATATACTAGGGTTGCATATCACCTTTCTTTGCAATGCGATTTGAGCTCATTCATTTTGTATGAGCTCAAATAGCACGGCAAAGGTATCGGTAATTGTTATCGGTGAGTATTTAAGCACAAGTATTGGTACTCGTACTCGTTGGTGAAAAAAAAACAGGTATTGTTGTATCCCTGGTATTTACTGTAATTTCTGAAAGCAGAAGCCCTGGAGAAATAAGTGGCAGATGTTACAATTTTTTATGTCACACTATATTTGTGCAACCATTTATCAAAAAATATACTGAAATGAATTTTAGTGCACACAAACACAATATATAATACCCAGTTTTTGATTAAATTTAAAATATGATGTTGCATCAAGTAAATAGTTACAAATCATGTCAAGATTTAAAATTTTGTGAATGCCTGTAAAATGGCAACAAACTTTTGTACCTAAAATTGTCCATAGGTGATGCTTTAAAAGCCTTTACAGGTTAGCAGTTTAGAGTTAAATGTGAGCTATGATGCTTGAATTACCTCTAACATTGCTGACGATACCCCATATGTGTGGTGCAATCACCTTTTACATATGCATGCCAGACCTATGTGCATATTTGCATTTGTATGTGAGTAAAGAGGGATGGGGATGCATTAAAATTTTCTTTTAATTATTTTTATTTATTGAATTAAAACATTTTTAACATGTTTTACATTTTTTTAAATTTACCTTTATTGCTATAAAAGAGGGGGTGTATTAGACCCCCGATGTCTCCCCTATCCTCCTTTACAAACAAGGGGCACCTCTTACTTTACTAGACCAGCAGACCTGGGTAGGCAGAGCATGCTGACACCCAATGTCTGCCAGTCGTCTCCGGGGCTCTGAGAAGAGATGCACCCATGTCCAATGGATGTAATGAATCACAGGCCACTTTAAAACCAAGCACAGCAGGTTGCCATGATTACAATGTGTTTTGGGGTGTCTCCCCCTTTCTCAAGTCAGCTGGAAGCACTAACATTAGGTGTATAAGTATGGGAAATGTAACCTTTCTGGATTAACTACTTCCCCACCCCCGTCCAATAGCCACAGAGATTCCCCAGACTAACTATCAGAAAGAAGCACAGCAACAGGGACTCATCCAGAGTAACCCTTCAATAGCCACATCTCTGATAATTCTCTGCTCTATAAATCAACATTTATTTAACTAGACAGGTTGAGAACGGAGATCTATCCAGTGGGGGCATCTGACATATGTTCTAACCCCTTGCACTTTCTCAAACTTGTAACATCCTTGGCATGCAGGTCAGCTTAAAGTGTGATCTTAAGATGCTTTTGTTTAAGGGCGGTGAGAAAATTACAATCTGATCTGTACTTGATTTAAAATAAATGCATTTTGATAGTGTCTGGATAGAAATATAGGGGTTGCCTTTACATGAATAATGACTATGGGATCCAGGACCTAAACAATCATGGGCATAAGTTTTTTCATATAAATATAAATAAACAGCGCAAATTTAGATCTAAATTTGCGCTGTTTATTTATATTTATATTGTTTGTGTTTTCACGATTGGCACAGCAGCATTTTTAGAGTGTTATTTGGAAAGTTTTGGCGCAGGAATAAGTTTTCTTGTATAAATAAGTTTTTTCATAACTGTTTCTTCAAAGCTAGTGAAGCCAAGATCAACATGATGGCTCTGGATCATACACCTGCAAAAATGCAACAGCAGCTTTCATATTTCTACTGTGGCATGTTCTTTTTTAAAGCTCAACTCCAACCAAAGATTTGTTTTTAGTGCTAAAATTGAGGGGAAAACTCTCCAGCAGGAACACAGAAGTAAAGTTTGATAGAGGTTCCAAAACCTTTGGACCCCCCATTCCTCAGAGGAACCGATCAATATAAAGTAGAAAGCAATAAGCAATCTCATAAAGTTCTGCAAATACTGTACATTGATACATGCAATTTCCACTTTGCTTGGCAATGCAGAGAAAAGTAAAAGTCTCCCTACTAATTGTATAAATAAGCACACATTATATATTTTCACATTTACCCTTCACATTTACCCTGCAACAGTGTGGCTTTAGGTACCTATTCCAATACAATTTAGCAAACTGTCATTATTTACATCCAGAGGGACACATTTTTCTTATACCTTTCAGTCCTTTCAGACCTCTCAAACCTCTACAGAATGAGCTGTATGTGAGCTTTATGTCTATGAGCGCACAATTACAATCACATTTTCAATACCAGCAGCATGTGAGGACACTGAATAAAGTGCCATTGTTATTGGTGTCATTGCAAACAAACAAATCTCTTTACATTTGGGTCCTTGCCTGTTTCAAAATCCTGTGAAAAATTAAATGCTTGGTACTAAACCTCATACACACATTAGAAAATGCTGAGTTACAGGCATTTGGTGTTCTTTTTCTGCTTGTAAACCCACCTCTATTTTAGCCATTAATCAGTCTAAAATAAAAAGTTATATATAACATGTAACAAATATTTACCACTTGCAGCCAAAGAGAAAGATGAAGACACTGCTTCTACGCTTCACTGCTTTCTTCTGGTTTCTGCAAACAAAACATAAAATTGTAAATAAATGCTCCTGCCAAAAATCGAAAAGTTGCACACATGAAATTATTCCACCAGCTTGAATGGTGTAGGAGCTTGTTTAACTGCTATTGTCCAATGGCAAACCCGGAGTTCTTGCCTCAAAATGGGGGAGGTTTAGCTCCCTTTGTCTACATCAAGCCAGAGGATATTTAGGTACGATCCACTGTAATTATACAGAAAGACAAGACACACAATTTGAAATATTGCACTCCAATTTACTATATATTATGTAGAGTACGTAAACAAATCTTATTACTTTGATAAATACATCATGAAATGAAAACAAAAGTGAATGTTGAGGGGCATGGGCGGGATTTGAGCGGAACTGGTCGCACTTCTCTAGAGCTCCGTAGTCCTCCTGCATTAATCCTGCTTCCTCTGGGTAAAGGCACTCCGTAGCCTTGTTTCTTTTCTCTTACCTGATCCAGCAGTCTGAGGTACCCCCCAATCCATGGCTTTAAAACATAGGATCAAGGCACTTGCTGAACCTCAGCTGCAGTGACCAGGGCAAGGCCGGAATTCAGGCCCCTCCTCCGCCATCTTACCTCCAGCTCCTTCTTCACCTAACCCATGTCACCCGGCTGCCAAGATAGACTCGCTGGCAGGGGGCCCTGCGCCAGATCCAAATGCCTCCTCAACTACTGATGCAAAAGCCGGTGCAATTACCAATCTTATCCTGGAAGCTATCGACGGCTGTAAAGCCACCCTCATGATCCGCATTGACCATCTGGCGGTGGAATGCACCCTGATACACCATGATCTGGATAAGATCTGGGTCTGGCTGACCACAGCAGAGGAGGGCATCTCAGATGTGGATGATACCACCACCTTTCACAGCGCCCTGCTATCAGAGTTACAGAAATGGGTAAGAGTGCTACAAAATCGGGCAGACAATGCTGAGGATAAGCAGCACTGGAACAACATGCAGGTGATGAGGCTGCCAGAAAGGGATGGAGGGCACCATACTGGCCATATTTGCTGAGAAGATTTTAAAATAACTGCTAGCCATGGATGCGGTATCTCCAACCTATGTGGTGGAACAAGCCCATCGAGTCACCATGGGCTCTCTCCCCCCCTGGTGCTACCCATCTCCTGAACTTACCTATATACAAAATGGGGGTTGCTCCTGGATTATGTACACCACTTTTCTACAGAGCTCACAAGGAGAAAGCTTTGTGTCAACTCAGCCAGTCAGCGACTTTTGTGCATGGCGGTGGTGCTCTCCACACACTGCAAGTTTTGGGAATAGGCTGCACACTAGAATCCTTTTTTGCGCGATGTTTGTTTTCTGTGGTATAACAGTAGAGATGGGGTTTGACTTGACTGATGGGACTCCCCCCTTGTTCGTACTG